AGAAAGAAAGAAAGAAAGAAAGAAAGAAAGAAAGAAAGAAAGAGAAAGAGAGAAAGAGAGAAAGAAAAAGAAAGAAAGAAAGAAAGAGAGAAAGAGAGAAAGAAAAAGAAAGAAAGAAAAAAAGAGAAAAGAAATCTTAATTTTAGATAATTAGCTTTCTCCCTTATCAGTCTCCAGAATTCTTAAAGTTGAACTGCCTTTCTTTTAGCCACATGAAGAGACTAAACTAAAGATTAGCAAGTTTCACCTCAAGAGTTTATGACTATGGTCTAACAACTTGCATTTTGATAAAATCTTGAACTATGAAACACATTGTCTATTCACTGATTCCCTTATGATGGATTAGCCAGAAAGCATTTTCTATGACAAAATACTTCCCTGACCTGCCTAAAATAGAATGTGTTAATTTAATATGTGTAAACAATTATGTATGTACATACATATGTACATATCTACATCTGTAGCTATATGTGTATATATGTATATATAATCACTCATTTCACGATATCCTTAATCATTGCTAAACTGAAATGTCTCATAAGACATTTTTGTGAATTTAGTTTCCACTAATTTGAAGTTGGTCCAGTTTTAAAAACTGTTAAATTTTAATATAAGCATTGGTATTTAATAAAGGAATTTCTGTCCCTTAAGGAAATAAGCTCAGCTACTCTAGAATCATATTTACGAATCATTGAAATGATATTTATAACAGAATACCACAATAGTTAGTTGCCTGCAGCCCTCAGCCAAAGATAGCTATGGATGTATCCCAAATCATAAACTTGCATCAGAATTGGGGGGGAGGGATGTAATGTAATTGCAGGGTTGATAAATACAACTTCGTAAATAACCACATCTTACTTATAATGTCAAAAGTTTGGACATCTATAGTTTTTAACAGCCATACATTTATTACTATAGTATCTAGCAATGGTGTTAACCTGCCCTGTGCGTGATGTACAGTTGGGTACCAGAAAGCTAAATAAGAGAAATATGTAAAGAATTAAGCTGTCTTGATGTTTTAACACAACAGTACTAGAAACAGAACAATGTAACTGTTTCCTACGTTGATCCATTAATCAAACCCACTATGATTCTATGATTCTAGTTGCTAAATCTTAGCATATCATTTAGAAATTAATATATTAAAACATAATTTTAAAGTAAATATTCAAAACTCACTCTATTAGTGGTGCTCCATATAGAACAAAAATGACATGAAGGAAAAAACAAGACATAAGAAAGTAGATACAGCATTTCAAAACTCTGGTTACCTAAAAGAGAAATGAATAATCTGAAGACTCAAGAAAACACCGAAAAAGCCATTTACACACAAATAAAACTTGTCCCTATAGCGTATGAAGTGGCTGAATATTTGTAGGATCACATGTGTTATCACATACATAGCCCTCAAAACTGAGTGTTAAAACAACTTAAAAGATAGGGCCATCAAGATGATTCAGCAGGGAAAGGCCTTTGCCTCCAAGCCTGACAACTTGAGTTCAATCATTGGGGCCCACATGATGAACTTCCCTCTGACTTCATGAGAGCTGTGTTGTGTGTACACATGTATATGCGTGCATATACAAACACACGCTAAATAATTTTTTAGATTTAAATTCAAATATCACAAATATATTCAACCCACCACACCAGTAAAAGAGCTAACATTGATTTCTGTTTATATGGTGTGATTGTGATATTCTAATACTTAAGAAATATTGATAACAGAGTGTTAGGATACAAAAACCACAATGACCTTATTATAGAAAAACACACGAATTACCTACAGAAAATAATGAATGCTATGCTTTTTTTCATCTTTAAACAAAACTGGATAAATTAATCAAAAAGCAAAATGCTAAATAATTTCCCAAAATAAATTTCCCAAATCATATTCATAGTTGTATAAACATTAAAAACAAACTAACACTTGAACATCTACAAATAGGCCCATGCCTGAACACTCAATCTGAAACTCAAGAAGATATAATTATAAAACACATATTAACATTTTACACTATAAGTCAATTAAGGTGTTTAAAATGTTCCAACAGGGACTTAAACATAGTATTGAAATTTCAGTGAGGATTTTGATTTAACATAACTGTCAAGTGTCATAGCATAGTGACTATTGCAGAAAAAAATAGATTCTAATATCTGAAAACTTTTAGCAGGTTAGTCATGGAAGGCCACACGTAGAGTAACAGTTCTTGTGACTTAATTTGCAGTTAATTCTGGAAAGCTCACTTCTTATTTAAGAAGTGCAAAAGTATGCAGTGGCTGGCTGAGGGAGCTACTGACACTTGACAGCTACTAAGGCAAAGAAAGTCAGTTTTCTTCAGGAGTGTGGTCCCTGCTAGGTTGACCATGCCTCAGTGGATGGCCCATATCCATGAAATATAGGACTCTGAAAGTTATAAAAACAAGGATATGAAATGGGGCACAGGCTAAGAGGAGAGTAGGGAGTGAATGTGATCAAAACACATTGTCTACATGTATAAAGTTATCAGAGAATAAAAAAATATTTTTAAAAAATGTACATGGGCTAAGGGATGGCTCAGTCAGTAAGCAACAAGGCCCTAAGTCAAGTCCTAGAGCCCAAGGTAAAATGTCAGCTGTGGGGTACTGGAGAGAGACAGAGGTTCTCTGGGCTCATTGGCCAGCCAGTCTAGCTTAATTGGTGAGCCTCAGGCCAATGAATGACCCAGGTCAAAGCAGGTGAGCAGTGTTTCTAAAGATAACGCTGGAAGTTGTCCTCTAGCCTTCACATACACATGGTGTAAACGCCAACATACACACACGCGCGTGCGCGCACACACACACACTGTACAAAAATAACTGGAAATAAACTGCAGTGTCTTATAAGTTGTCTGAAGTGATGATATAAAACAATGCTTATACTGGTTCATAATATTTATATTGTGATGCATTGAAGGAGCCACAATTCCACAATCAATGCACAACAAGGATCTATCAGACACTTAAGGCAAGTCACAGGCTGCTGCTGGGGGTAGGGTGGGATGTGGTTCCCTTTATATACTGTAATACACTGTAATTCGACAAAGGTAAAACAATTCATATACTATTCCTCTGTCTAAAAACTGGTTATGAAGAACTAAAGCTTACCTTATGAGATAATGAACTTCGTTTAGAGGATAGATTTGGTTTCACTATTACATATAACAGGAGATTGACAGCAGCCACAAAAGCAGAACAAGTACACAACCAGGTCAAGTGAGTTTCTAATACTGAGAAGTTGTCCAAGAGGAAGGATGGAATAAAAACGCTTAGAAAAATTGAAAATATGCACAAAAGATTGGTATATAGAAGTCTCTTGATGTCAGTATCTTTCATGGTGTTTTCTTGGGTAGCTATCTAGTAAAAAAAAACAAATTAAGAAAAACATGTAATAATGACTTTTCCCATGTCCCAAACACTTCAGCATTCTAAAAATGAATCATGAAGTAATAATAATTTTAAATGGGCAATATATTTGTTTTAAAACACATAAGATGCATATGTAAATTTTATATTCTCTTACAAATATCTTTCAATGTCTTAAAAAGAAAACTTCAGTAAAATTTGAAAAGTTCATGACTGGTTTCAGCAAAGGGGGCATGTCTCATAAGCAACTAATTTTAATTTTTTTTTTTGCCCAAAATCAAGAATATGAAATCACTGTAGTTCCCAAATGCCAACCAAGTATATACTCGACTATGCAAATGGTGGCGAGACCGTTTGTTAGATGGTCATTATGCTAAACTAAGGGCTCCCAAGACCCCTGGGAAAACAAAGTAACACTGTCACAGATGCTCAGTTCTAGTCAAAAGCAGAAACAAAGGTTTACGGTCTCAAAATACATACACTTGACCTAATAGTTTATGTGTTATATTGATTAAAATTAAGAAAGAACTTGTGGTAAAAATCCCGCCCAAACAGAACATCCACACAGCAAGGAAGAGGGAACTGGCATTAAAGATAAAAGTGCAAGTCTGGGCATTGTCTTATTAGCCCTCGTTTAATTCACATGATCGTTTTCAAAGGCAAATTTGATACTGATTAAACTGGACGAACAAGTCGGCGGATAAGGCCAAGGTTACACACACTAAAGCCATTTCAAGCATCGCTTCTTCAACAGGAAGATATCGGAAACTAACAAATGGCATGAGAAGACTTGGACAAAGTTTCCCGGATTCGTCCCTCCGCGGCCGGGGAGAGGCAGGTAGGGGGATCAGGAATCCATCTTCTGAGTAGAGAGCGCTCCCGGGCCACCTGCAGAGAGCGACCTACCAGCGAGCGGTACCCAAACGCAAAGGCTTGTGGAATGAGCCCTCCTAGGACACTGGCGGGCCCTGCGTTCCCCCGCACCCCAGACCTGCGAGGCCGCCTTCTGGCGTCGCGACCGCACGCGAGCCGGGTCGGAAGGCATGGCTGCTTCTCAGCCCTCCTAAGGCAGCCTTTGCCCAGGGACGGACTCAGCTCAGCCCCACCCAGGGTGGCTAGAGACTCTGCCCAAACATCGGCCGGCGCGAGTGCGGACAGCTGAGGGGCGTCACTAGAGAGCGCCCGCGCTGCCCACCCGGGTGACAGTGACAGAGGGTCGGTCCCGCGGACGGAAGCCGGGATCTGGGAGGGTCCGTCCACCGGGGCATCCTCTGCTCCTCCGGAAGCACGGCGCCCCAGAACCCAACGCCGCCGTCGGCCGGGCCGCCTGCACCCGTCCCCGGCGAGCAAGACGGGTATCCCGCCGGCTTACCTAACTCTCCCACCCGCCGAAGGGAAGGGGCCACCACCGCCTCCCACCCTCAGGTGCGAAAGGCTGCCATGGCCCTCGCGCAGGCGCAGGCCCAGGAGGTGGAGCCTCACCAGGGCACGGCCAATCGTTGAAGAGTAGGGGCGGGACACTGAAAGAAGCTCCGCCCATTAGTTCACTTTTATTCCTCCCGCGTCTTCCCAGGTGTAGGATAGGCGGGAGGGGGAGGGCTGAGAGAACGGAAGCGAGCTGACGTAGCCGGAAGAGGAAGCGTTCTCAGGCTGTGTTGATGTTTTGTGGCGCCTGCTCCTTCTTTGCCGGTTGAGGGGACAGTTAGTGGAAGGATGGTGTGCGAAAAATGTAAGTAAAGGAGCTGTTTCTGTGGGAGGTGAAGGCTGGAGGAACCTGACGACATTCTCTTGGGATCTCGGCCTTTGCCTTTTCTCCTACAGGACTGTGGTGTAACCGTTGTCTTCCGGGCGTTCTTGCCTGTCCCTGGAACCATGTAGCCTATGCTTTGGGTAGAGTGGTCTCAGTACTGCACCTCTATGTTTGTTTCTGTTGCCCTCCCCCACCCTTCCTGGATCTCTTCAAATCAGATTTCTTGAGTGGCTCCCAGAGGCTTAAAATGGATCTTCAGAAATCTTCCTGGTAGCATCTGAAGTTCCCAGGTGTATCAAGTAGGAATTCCAGGCTCTCAGTTACTTTTTAAGATGATAAACAATGAACCATTTCTATTACTATGTCCCGTATAGTATTTGAATCTTGGCTTTCTTGTTCTTTTCAAAAAAAAAAAAAAAAAAAAAAAAAAAACACGCAACCTTTAGTACAGATTTTACTTTAAAATTTAATTCAGTGGTTATCTGAAAGTGTAACTGGATATTTTGTATCATCTCGTCCATTCTTTTCATTAATACAACAGTGAGTCATGGGAAAGAGAGGGTCTCATTATCACTAAAGAAATCTATGTAGTCAACCCTGGCTTTAGAAAGGTCTTGTTATCACTCAGAGTTCTTCTAATGAAACCCTTGAAATTTTTTGAAGATATTTGATTTTTTTTTTTTTTTTTTTTTTTTTTTTTTTTTTTTTTTTTTTTTTTTGTTAACTGCAGAAGATGTTGGTTTGTGTAAAAACAACTTTTTTATCCCGATTTCTTTTCCTCGGGTTAGACATTCTTTTCTCTGACGAGATTCCAATTCTTTGTATCCCAGTTACTGTGTAATGCACATGATTCATTTTGTTTATATACCCTCAGTACATGGAACTCTAGAAACAGACACTCCGAAGTAGCTGGAATTACATGCCTGTGCCAACAGGCCCAGCCTCCATCCTTAAGCAATTTTTAAATTTTTTGAAAGTGGGGGAGATGTTTAATTAGATGTGACTTAAATGTATTTAGATTATGAAGCTGCTCATTTATGCTGTTTAATTCTCACATATGTAGCTTGGATCTTCTTTGTAGTTTTTGTCAGTTCTGTACAGTTAATAGTTCATGTCAGAAATTCTGTCTACTTTCACTTTTTTGTAATTCTCTTTATACTGTAACTGCTGTGTCCCAACAGAAATTGAGGATAGTAGGAAATTGTGAATTAGTATCTCCAAGGAACATAAAAATTTTGAGAACTCAAGATCCCTGTGGTCTTAAAGTAAAATGCATATACTTTGGACTTTAATGTATGCCATATCATTTCCTCCTATTAATATTTACTTCTCTGCTCTTCTGAAAAGTCTGATGTTTTTATTTTCAGCCTCCTAGTCTGTCTGCTCAGTGCACTCACCCTGTAAGTAAACTGGAGTCTTGCTCATACAGAAGACATAATGTTAGACACCTTAGTTCTGTCGTTCCTTGTGTCAGAAATTATTCAAAGAAGCTATTTGTCTGCAAATTTTTAGAGTTACTTTCAAATACAAACTGGATTTTCATACTACTGAAAGAACTTTTAAATGTTCACCAGTAGTCTTCCATTTACTAAATTCAGTGAGCTTTCCTTTGGTTTACTTTCTTTCTCTGGCGCTGTTATCTCTTTAGGGAATGTTTGGCCTCAGAAGCACATCCATACTATTGAGTATTAGAGTCACTTCTCCACACTGACCTTTTCCCTACCTAGTAAGAAATAACTCTTGTCCATCCTGGAGCTTGGTGTTTGAGACCCTCTATTTTGTGTACTGATGTACATCCTGAACTTCTCATGCCTTTTCTCAAGATGAGTTCTTTATCTATATAGTTTGACTTTATCTTCTTTATATTTACATTGCCATATGCTTAAACTTCATCTCTATTCATTCACAAATTATTATACTTTGTTTTCCACCGTATATTTTTACTAAATGATTCTTCACTTCTTTAAAAGTCTCTGATGAACTCTTAACAAAAAAATTATAAACACACATATTAGGTTTGTATACAATTCCACCTGGTTCATTCATCTCCTGCGAACTGCCTACAAGCTCTTAAGAAACTAGTGAACTGTATAAGCCCCCCCCTGAACCTGGTTTTATTTTCGTCAGTACCTTGTATAGTGTTTTGTACATACTAGATGATTAGAAAATGTTGAAGGAATGAATATGTTCATCAGAATTGTCGAAAGTATGAACAGTGAAAACCTATTATTAGAGCATGTTATTGTCGTATAAATTTTACTTAGAATCAGAATCACTGCCCACAGTTACTATCTTAAGTTATTATCTTACTGCCATTCACTTGGCTTCTACCCCAGCATTAGTAGGTTCCTACTGTAAGCTGACTTTGATATCGTGAACCTCAGGCATGATATAGTATATTTATTATTTTTAAATTAGCAAAGAAATGGGTTTCACTATTTCATTTCTACATAGTATGCATATTACATGATAATTTCGTTTCTCTTTTGCTAACTCATAACAGGTGAGAAGAAACTCGGCACAGTTATCACTCCAGATACATGGAAGGACGGGGCACGGAACACCACAGGTATGGTTTCCTCATAAAAACCAAAGTCTGCATCAGATATTTCTGGATACTGCTTTAGTGCCTCACTGTTTGCAAAGTGAAATGTTCAATGTGTTTATCTCATCTATCAAACACTGAAAAGTACTGGGTTCCCCCTGTAATTTCATAACTGCCTCTTCACCGTCTGGATTACAAGTATAGATTCCTCATATAGTCCAGAAATAGTAAAATTATTAAATTATTTCAGTGTATATCTGTTTGATTCAGCTTAATAAGGTTTGTGTTTAAATTTCCTTCCCATATCTAAAATGTTCTAGAATAAACTTAAACTGTTTTTATTTTACTTTTTTATTAAATACATACAGCAAAGCCAGGCATGGTTGTATGCGCCTTTAATGCCAGCACTTGGGAGGCAGCAGCAGATGGATCTCTTGAGTTCAAGGCCAGCCTGAACTACAAATTGTGTTTCAGGACAGCCAGGAGCTATGCAAAGAAACCCTATCTCAAAAAAAAAAAAAAAAAAAAAAAAAAAAAAATTAAAACAAAACAAAAAAACTTCACGTAAAATTAAATATATCTTCAAGGATGGGTACCCAATTTGGTCTATATTCAGTCTATAATACCAAAGTAGAGAAATGTTACAAATAGAAGATGTAGACCATTGCCAAAGTACTGTGTTGAGACTGAATAATAAAGCAATATTTTATACAAGTGTTTAAGAGCTGAGATACTGTATGAGTATTTTAAAAAGGGTAATTTACTGGCACAGAGTCAAAGAGTGAACTTTTAAACTAATTCTGCATATTACACATTGTGTATTAAATGCAGAAGTGAGTTGACTGCTATGTCTGTACTTTTTTATATATATAGAAAGCGGTGGAAGAAAGCTGAACGAAAATAAAGCTTTGACTTCAAAAAAAGCAAGGTAAGTGAGACCATCGCTAGGGCTGTCACAGAGTTCACTTCACAATGGCAAGCCTACTGGATGAATATTCACCTGCCCTCACCGCGGTCGAGTTAGGTTGCATTGGCACATAGAAGCAGATTGTGTGCTATAAGCTATTCGTCTACCCTATGCCAACATATGAAAAGATTAATGCTGCTCCTTTTTTTTTTTTAATTTAAACTTTTACATAACCCCTTCCTACTGCTATCCTATTTTCTGGCTTCCTTTTACCACGGAAAGGTTTTATTAGCCAGAATGATCATCTGGAAAGATCATGCAATTTCTTTGCTTAAAGCCTTCCATTGGTTTTCCTTTTCCTGTAGAACAGAATCTAAGCTCTCTACCATCATCTACAAGGCCCTTCATGATGCAACACCTTTCTCTTCTGATTTCCCATTGTACCACACTCCTCTTCTGTCACATAGCTTTCTCATTAGATTGACGAATCCCACTGTCACCTCAAGTAGTTTATGCTTGCTGCTCCGTGGTTCCTCCTGACTCCTTGCTATTTGAAATTTGGCTGAGATGTGAGCTCCTCAGAGATGAGTCCTTAAGCAGTGTTTGTCTCCTCTGCTCTGCAGTTTTCAGCTGGGGCTCTCTAACACTTACTACTTATCTAAAAAGTTTGTTTTGTCTTGGATTTATTTATTTATTTACTTATTTATTTATTTATTTATTTTCTCTCTGTCCAGTCATATATGAGTTTGGTGAGAACAGGGAATTTGTAATAAAAATAAAGCTTTTACTTTATAAAATGGCTGGTACATAATAGGTGCTTATTAAAAATTTTATAAAACAGCATAATAGACTTAAAGTTTAATATAGCATCATCCTCCATATTGCTGGTTGACTTGATGTTTTTTAAGACCATTCAGTTTTTATGAGTTGTGTGCAATTACATATACCTTTGATTCCTTTATGCTGTTAAATTTTTCTGATTTCTGAAGTATAGCTATTATTTTTGAGTACTCTAGCTAATTTATTTTAGAAAGTATTCTACTACACTACATTGACTTTTCAATACCATTATTTATAAGAGGAAACTCTGGGAGGCTGAGAGACAGCTCGGTGGTTAAGAGCACGAACTGCTTTTCCAGAGGACCTGAGTTCAGTTTGGACATGAAGAGGCTCACAAACTTCCTATGTTTCCTGTAGGAAACTGTTTATTTAGTAGAAAACCCGTTACCCAAAGGGATTAGTGTAGAGAAATGTTAATTCAGAACATGGCTACTGTGGAGGAGATCACATCCAAAGACCTTCTAGGTCTCTGTGATCCCCTGGCAAGAGATCACATCCAAAAATCTTCTAGGTCTGTGTGATCCAGCTGGAATACAAACACACCTTTAATCCAAGAGACAGAAGCCAGCAAATCTGAGTTCAAGGCCAGCCTGGTATATAGTAAGTTTCAGGTAAAGAAAGGCTGAGATCCAGGCATGGTGGTGCACGCTTTTAATCCCAAACAATGAAGAGAAAGTTAGTTTGTAGAAGGAAGCACCCATGTTTGAAAGTGATGCCTAATTGAGTGGAAGAAGAGGTGACAAATCAGAGAATATTTGATGGAATAGGATACTCCCAACTCCCATCAGAAGAGAAAGGAAAGGGAAGCTACTTAAGGAGCAACACAGGGAATCAGAGAGAGAGAGTTTTACTGGGACAGTAATTAACAGACAGGTTGCAGAGAGAGAACAAGTTAGACCCAGGTGAAGACAGAATGAGCCAGAGAATGAGAAGGGGCCAAGAGATTAGAGCAGATTTCTGGAGTTAATTGGAGGCCAAGCAGAGCAACTCAGAGGCCTAGAGAAAATCCAGATTGAATAAGTTAACTGGGAGAGGAGTTTGAGCCAGAAGAGCAGAGTTTGAACCAGCCAGTGCAGAGTTCAGAAAGAACAAGAAAGGGTGAGCTTTTTAAGCAGTAAGTCTCATACGCTGAAAACATTCTAGGCCTACTTTAGATTGTACAGAGGTTAGAAGCTTCCAGGACTAGATTAATAGAAGGAGGCAGTAAGCCTCCGAGACAACATTTGAACCAGGAGAATAAAACTCCTTTACAAATTAGCCCTGTCAGTTGAAACTGCTTGTGAACTTGAGTAGTCATTAGGAGATGTACATGTCTTACTTTATTTTAAAACATAAACTGTAGATGTATCCATTTATTGTTAGGTTTTGAGATAAAAAGCCTTTACAGCCTGAATCTACTGACAAGAGTTTTATATCATTTTCCTCACATAAACTATCACCAGAATACATATTCTGTACCTCATGTCTGTGATCCCAGTGCTTGGGGGCTGGTGACAAAGAATCAGGAGTTCAAGGTCATCCAGCCTGGGTTCACAACACATACATATATACATACTTACATACTTTTGGCAGCCCAAAACCACCTGTAACCCTGTCTCTAAAGGACCTGCACTCTTTTGCCTCCATAGCTATCTAAACACATGTGACATACTTATATAGACACACACACAAATATGGAGTCCTTCCCCCTATTTTTAGTAGTTGGCTTACCTGAATGTAATTCAATAGTAGTTATAACAGTTCATTTTTATTCATCCCAAAGCAGTAACTTATATTTTTTTTGTACAATCAGTCATTCCTCGCACTCACATTTCATCAATTTTCATATTTATCATACAAATAGAATGATACAAGTGATAGGAACAATTCTGAAAATAAATACAACTGGTTGTTCATAAGTATACAGCTTCTATGGAAGGGCAGAGGAATATAGATACATTACACAGTAGTGAGCCAGAGGAGGGCTGTGGCTCAGTTATGGAATTTGATGGAAGAAATAACGATGCATTCATTAATCATGGGTGTTACTTACCAGGGATTAAGAGTTTCTATTATGGTATGAATGTCTTTGCTTCTTTCTTTTCTTTTTTATTTCTTTGTCCCTCTAGGTTTGATCCCTATGGAAAAAATAAATTCTCCACTTGCAGAATTTGTAAAAGTTCTGTACACCAGCCAGGTTCTCATTACTGTCAAGGCTGTGCATACAAAAAAGGTAAATTTCTTTCACTTAATTTTTCTATGTATATCAAATCTACTTCATTTGCTAATGATTAAAATGACAGAAAGGAATAGCCTTTCATAAACTGTCAAATATTCTTTTTTTTTTTTTTTACTAAGATAAAATAGAATTTAAAATAAATTTGTAGTAAAAAGATGGGTTTTTTTTTCTCTTTTATGATGCTTTGAAGTTCTTAAAGATTCTATTTATTCTTATACATGTATGTGTGTATGTGTCTATTTTAGTGTATATGCACATCTGTGTACAGCACACCTAGGCCTAGAAGCCAAAAGAGGATGCCATGTCTCTTCCTCTGTCATTCTCTAACTAATCCGTTTTGAGGCAGGGTCTCTTCCTGAACCTTAGGCTCCTGTTTTCTCGGTTTGACTGGAAACCAGCAAACCTGGGGAGTCCTTCTGTCTCCACCCGACTTGGATCTGGAATTATGAGCATTTGTGAACCTATGTGAATGTTGAACTTCAAATGCTAGTCTACAAGATTACACAGCAAGTGCTCTTAAGCATTGAGCCATCTCTCCAGTCACACTAAGTGAAGCTTAGATAGCATAAATAAACCACACAATTGGTTCTACTTGGTTGCTCACCTGTTTTCTTTTGTTTCAGGCATCTGTGCAATGTGTGGCAAAAAGGTTTTGGATACCAAAAACTACAAGCAGACCTCCGTCTAGATGTATTGATGAAGTTTTTGGCTGTCTATGATTGTACTTTCTGCTTTGACTTTTCAAGGTATAACATGGATGTTTCATCTTACAAAATAACCTTTTTGAAGATTAAGTCTAAGGCAGGAAAGTTGATCTGTATTCAGTTGTTTGCTCTCACAAAGTTCTGAACAGCAATGATATAACCAGTCCTCTGCCTTCACTGGTTATTTTCCTTGTGAACATTTTAGTGAACTAGAGTAAGTGACAAAATTAGTGGAAAGGTATTCCTGAGTTCTCTATGCACTTTCTCTGTAATATTATTTACAGAATTCTTATCTGATCTGTGTGTTTTATTTATGGATATTGCAAATGTGAAATTACTGATCCTTTGCTCTGAACTTGACATCCAGACTTATTTCTTTCTTATTCACAACTGTCACAGTTCTTTACAATCAGCAGCCCCTCAACTAAATGCATTTTTATGAGCTGTAAATGTTCGAGGCCATTATTGCTAAGTGCTTTCTTAGTGACCAGTTCTGCCACACGTCTAAGACAAGCTGAAAGTTTTATTTTAAATTTTTGTTGAATCTAAAGTGCCAGTTCCTGTCACCTGTGAGCAAGAGCCCATTGAGTGCCCATTTGTCTACATGAGTGCACTGTATTTCAGACAGATGCATTCTGTCAACATTATCTTCAATTCAAGATGTCATGAAATCCGGGAGAGCAGTATTTGTCCATATAAAATGAGAATAAATTTCTTCTGTTTGGGTATGTCCTTTGAAGCAGGAAACAAACTTTTCTAAACCTCTCTACCCCTCCCCCAAGAAATAAATAAAGCAAACATCCTGACTCTTTTCTGTGTGTCTAAAAGCTGTCACTGTAAACTTCTATGAGACTATATTGAGGTTTCAAATGAAAGTTTTTTTCTCTATTGCCATCTTAGGGTTGAGCCTTCTGCCTTTAAAACGGTCAGCCTACAGGAGAACAAAAGCATAGTCTCTGTTTCCATCTGTACGATCTTAAATGTATATCACGGTGTAGTGTGGGAGCTACTGTAAACAATGAAAAAATAGACAATGATTGTTTTAAAATTACTGTGAAGAAAAAGTCTAATTTCATTTTATCTATAAGATTTCTCAGTGTTTTTCTAGGATGCTTTGTTATTTGTGTTTATCAGAAAGAGTACAAGAATCATGCAGAATAGAAGTAATATCGCTTAGCCAGGGGGTGGTTTTTATCCCAGCACCCTGGAGGGAGAGGCAGGTGGATCTCATAGTTCAAGGCCAGCCTGGTCTACAGAGTAAGTTCCAGAACATCCAGGGCTACATAGGGAAACCCTGTCTAGAATAAAAACAAAAAATATCTCTCAGAACAAAACAAAACAAAACAAAAAAAAAACAAACAAAAAAAAAACCTTCCTGTTTAATCAGCTTGGGATTTGGGTTTTTTTTTTTTGTTGTTGTTGTTGTTGGTTGTTTGTTTGTTTTTTGTTTGTTTGAGACAGGTTCTTTACATAGCCTTGGCGGTCCTGTAGACCAAGCTGGCCTCTCAGAGGGTTGATATTTGTAAACCATAGTCTTAACACAGAGAAGTCATAGTAAGACCCATCTGGGCACAGATCTGCTGCCGTGTACTGCACTCTGACAGCAGGTCCTCGCCAGCACAGGCTGTTCTGTTTGGATCTTGGGCTGTTTACTTTTGTCCTCCCACCCTTAGCCCTGTGGTTGGCTCTTTTTCCAAATGTCATTGGTGTAAGTTGGAAACTTTCTGGTCAAGCCCACAAAACAGTATGTGTAAGTATCATTTATCCGTCTGGTCATATAGGGAACAGCATGGTAACAGCATTTGCTTTTCCCAGCTAACTTAGTGAATGAAGCTGAGTGCTTTAAAAATTCAACCCGTATTTATTGGATCTCTGCTTTATTATCTCTAGCCACACTGCTCATTCCAAAATGTTTGCACATAAAGTAGAATCTGAGCCTGTTTCAAAGCAGTGATTTTAACCAATCAATTTGGAAGCTGAACTAAGGTAGTGGTGAGTAAATGGGAAAAGGTATACATGTGAAGGTCCTAATGAGAGACTGGCAGGACTGGCTGGCCTGAGTGGAAAGGCTGGCCTCTCGGTGGACCTTTTCAATGTGCTAATAGTAGGCCTTTCCACCAGATGGCAACCATACTCTGCTTGGTTTCAACTTGCAACCACGCTAAACTGTCTGTAGTTAAAGCAACCCAAAGATCAAATGTGTGGAGTTAAGTCCCCAGTAATACTGTGAATAAGCCGGAGAAGTTTATCATAAAACATTTAAAATGTGCATAGTAAGGGCAGTTGATAGGGCACTTGCCTGAGTGCGTGATGCCCTGTACTACATACGCTAGGTGTACTGATTCCCAGTGCTACATACACTAGGCGTACTAATCCAGCACTTGGGAAACACAGGCAGGATTAGAGGCTAAAGCTTACCCTTGACTATAAACAAGGTTAAGGCCATGACTAACACTGTATATAACATTCCTTGACCACTGACTACACAAGACTGTCGCGCGGGGGGGGGGGGGGGCGGCAGGTTAGTGGTTAAGAGTGTATATTGCAATTACCCAGAACCTGGTTTTGGTTCCCGGCATCTACTTCACGGCTCACAGCCTTGCCCTGGCCTCCATAGTCTCCTGCACACACAACTAAAAAACAAATATTTTTTTTTTCCAGTTCTGGAAAATGTATTTAAAATGTTATTAAACAGGCAATCTTCAGAACAAAGATGAAAAATGTTAGAAAACAAATCCAGTGACACACAAATTCCAGCCCCCACAAAATAACCTAGGTGTCCCCCCGCAAATGCCTGTAATCCAGGACTGAGAAGGACAAAGACAAGAGGGTCATTGCAGCCTGTGTTCTTCCAACCCAGCAGACCTAAGCCTGGGTTCAATAAGAGAATCTGCCTCAGAGGAAGGAACAGGAAAAATGATGAAGGATTGATGAAGGATGCCCTCTTCTGGCCTCTGCTTGTACAAAGAGGTGAATGCACCCCCACACATATACATGCAAATAGATATCTAAATAATGAAATATTCTAAAACTTCAATTATAATGAAAATTGTTATAAAATTAGAATAGAAATTTCCTAGCAGCCTACTAAGGAAGCAAAAGGCCTACAACAAATGCCACAAATGGTCAACTGCATTTGAAAATGATGTGCAAGGCTTTGATCTCATGAGTGATCATATTTGCTTAAACTTGCTCTTCTGACACTTTTTTTTTTTTTTTCTTTTTTAGCTCTGTTAGGAAGGATATAGAGGAGCCTCCTGTAAGGATAGTTTAGCCCCAGTATGAAGGTGTGGTCCTTTGAAAACTACATCTGAGGCCTGGTTGTCAGTGAGGGCTCTTCCACTCTAGTTGATGGCGTTTGTACAGGATCTGTGTAGCCCAGGCTATCCCCAAGCTTACTATTATTCTGCCTCAGCCTCCAGAATGATGGGGTTACAGGTATAAACCACCACACGGGTTCCCTGTATGTGAGTATTTTGGAGAGTCACATGCCTGTGTGAAGCTGGGAACTGTTCGCTTCCAGCACAGTCTTATTTTTCCCTAGCCTTGAGGGCTTGCACACTAGAGGTGCACCCTCCTGTTTGACAAAGACACAGAAAGACGCCTATGGAAGATTTCTGGAACTTTCTGAGGAGTTTCATTCTTTCTACAACTCGGCTCTGTCTCTGTCCTCACAGCAAATAAAATCCACATTGGTATGGACTCAACACCCTCTCAGGAATCACAGCCCTGTGGTGCCTAGTCTTTTAATATCCAAAACTGGTTTTCTCAGTTGTTCTCACTTTTTAAAAATTGATTAGAGCAGGAAGATAAATGTGACCGTTGGTAGTTTGTCATGGTCACAAGCGGAAGTCCATTACAGATGGACTGAGATGTTTGATAAGGTTCTCATCCCAATAAACCCATTATAGGCTACGAACATCAATACACTTCATACACCCAGTGACTGAACATCACAGTTCACTAAAGTGAACAGCATAGTTAACTAGAGTGTCAGTTATCATCCCTCACACACACTTCCTTGATGGTGGGGCTGGCTGAGACCTGCAGCTCCATGCTGCTGCCCAGCGTCTTGAAAATCATCACTACCTCTCACTAGCCTGGGCACAAAACAGTCCAAGTCCAAATAGTTTCCTCTGAATGTATAGTGAGTCCTCACCATTCTAAGGAAGATCTGAAGTCAAGATAGCATAAGTAGAAGACTGTCTCTGTGGGATACTTGGGAAGGGGGTGAATATCACTGGGTAGCCCAGGCTGACCTAGAATTTTTTATTCTACCTCAGCCCCACAAACGGTGGGATGAAGAAGGCGTGCATCCCCACGCCTGGCTTGTCTTGTACAGTCTCCTGAAGTTATTTTTTTTTCTTTATAGATCTGCCCTCTTCAACTTGCTTTTCGCATTTCTACTTCCCTGTTCTGAGTACAGGTTTCTCCCACCTTTCTGTCCGTGAAGACTCAACAGTGGAGAGACTATTAGGTTGTTCAGCAGCTCTGCTTATATCGGTAGGCCAGCTTCCCCAACAGGGTTGCTGAATGATGCTTTTGACTGAGAAGAGAGTAAATAGCACTCTTAATTTCTCTTATCTGGAGGTTAAAGTGGAGGAAAAGAGCCTAAGTAGCCAGTGTTCAGCCACTGGCTCTTCTGTTAAGGTCCTGTGCCTACCATAAGCTGTGCCCAGTGAAAATGTGTTCCCCCGACTCTGGAGCCTGCACCTCTAGATGTTGGCCATGATGTGCGAGGGGCAGTATTCCTCCACCAGGAGTATGTGTAGAGGGTTGTGGTATGGGGCCAGGAATTCACATGACTCTCACTTGTCTTTCATTTAGCCACTGTTCTTTAAGTCAGTTGTGCAGCCCATCCCAGATGTGTCATAAGATCCTGAGTCTGTTAGCACTTAAGTGTGTGCTGAATTTGTAATTATATTTACTTAGTGTCATTTGCAGTTTGGCTTTTCAAGAAAGTGTGTCAGGTCCATTGCCATTTGCTTCTTTCTGCCCACTCAAAGTTGGGTCCTTTGGTACCTTCTTTCACTATCTTTGGGGTTAATGCCATTTCCCCTCAAATTATTGGTAATGTAGTTTCAGAAGGGAAAGTTGAGGGTTAAAGTTAGATATGTTTTACTTTGTTAATGTTTCCAAGGCACTTCAGTTTCATATATTTTTATAGTTTCATCATTTCCTAATGTTCACCACGCACATCTGTGGTGAGCACACACACCTGTCTGGCGCTCACGCTCTCTCTTTCTCTCTCTCTGGCTGCCTGTCTAGTTTGTGGTACCTGGAATTGAACTCAGGCCCTCACAAATGTTGGGCAAGTTCTCTACTACTTAGAGAGGCCACCAACCCAATAATTAGATTTTGACCCACAAAATCAATTCTCTAATGGGAGAAATGCAAAAGCAGGGAATACATAGAGAGGCAGATGTTAATAGGGATGTGAGAGATTAATCTAGTTGGAGGTGAATGTGTAAAGAGAGTCTATTTAAGAGAATATGCTAGGTATAGTTATTCCTTTCATCAAAGTGTTATACACCTCAGTTTAACAATTCTCCCTGATCCCAGCACCAAGTCTGCTTCCTCATGAGGCACCTAGCCTTTGACAAAAGCAGGTAGCCCTCACCCAGACTTCATGCAATAAATAGAAATATTAAAGGACACTGTCTAATGGCTAGTGACTAATATGCCCTCAAAATAAAGCTTCACAGAAGTCTGCTGTGCACTTCCAAAGAGCTCCTAATTTTTCTCAAAGAATTTATAGCTTTCAGCGTTGATGCAGTCACCTCAGGTCAGGCATGAAGAAATTATAGCGCAG